ACACACACACACACACACCCACACACTTCAGGTCGCACATGCTCATGAATCCGCCGTCCCGTTGCATTAACCTGGCAGGGTAAGAGATCTGAAGTGCCACCGGGGAGGTGCTGGACTGTCCCCTTACATTCTCGTCCTGTCTCTAGATTTCCTCTTTCCTTTCTTCTCCTCTAGTTCAGCCTCTTTTTTCTCCTCCTCCTCCCTCCAACCTCCGCGCTCACGTCTGCGCTTCTACTGCCTGAGCCGCTGCAGGCAGTCGCTCTTTACACTCTCCCCCCATCCTCCCATCCTCGCCTCATCCCCTTACCAGATCTGTTCCCCTCCCCTCTGATATGACGGAGCCCCTCCCCCCCTTCTCCCACCAACAACGACAAGCATCTCCCCTGGGACACTTGCCCACCCCTCCCTCCCTTGCTTGCTTACCTCAGAGAGAGAAGGGAGCGGGACGGGCCGAGGAAAAGAGATTTAACAGAAAAGAAGAGAGGAAAAGGCAGAGAGGCAAAAATTGATATTTTGAAATTAGGATGGATAGCGGACATGAGCCGAGGAGACAGTGGAGGCTGAGGTGTGTGTGTGGGAAACACAATGCGGGTAAAAACGAAGGGACAGTAGCCAGAAGAGATGTCTGCATATAAAATATGAAAAGGATGAGGAGAAGAGAGTGAGCAAGAGAGGATAAATTCAAGCTGCGGCTCTGCTGTCCCAGTGATAAGCCGTCTCTCCTGAGCTATTTTCACAGTTTTCAACCCCTTTAAAAGCGCGTGGTTTCAAGTTCGGCTTCTTTTGCTTTGGGGCTCAAAATGAATTTCACGGCTGCTCGAGGAGCTGGCCGCACGCAGCAGCATCACTACTCACAAAGTAGGAGGATGGTCTAATTCATTAGTAAACAATGGTTTTGACTGATGCCACTTAAAACTAGTCTTTACTCGTCAATCCCTACATTTCTAACTTTAAATTTGTTGAAAAAGCACAATAACTTCGACTCACCTGACTCGTCCTCTTTGGAGCTGATGGATCCAGTTGTGCTGCTTGTTCCATCCCCGTCCTCATATTCCTCTTCGTGGGCCTCTCCGTTGGTGCACGGCCCATAGTCGAGACTCGTCTCCTGGCTTGCAGGAAGAGAGACGTGGTACTCGTCCTGGATTTCTGTGGATGCTTCACTGCTCTCTGCTAATGATTCAGAGATTTCTGAAATCTCCCCCTCCTCCTGTTGCTCCCTCTCTTCCTCTTCCTTCTTTGTCTGTCTTTGCAGAGCATCTACTTGGTCCTCTGTTTGGGACAGGCTGATAGTATCCTCACACTGAGCTGGAGCCTGTTCATTGATTAGCTGGGAGCTAAACTGTGGGACAAAAGAGAGTTTGGGTTTCTTGGAGATGGCTGGGGGCTTCTGTTTGACAGGTGAGCTTTGGGAGCTCTCTGGGGGGCTTGGCAATGAGTTCTGCACTTCATCTGTTTCTCTTCCGTTTGAGAGAAAGTGACTCTGATCCTCAGCTTTTCCATTTAAGACAGCACTGTCAGGTGTCTCCTCAGTGATATTGCAGTTTAATGTTAACTCTTCTAAAAGCTTTGACACAGGTGATGGTGAGGAATTACGGGAATCATCCTCTGGAGAGCTGTTAAACACAGGTATCACAGTGGGATACACCTGGGAGTGAGATTTCTCCAGGGTCTGTGGACTACGAGGGAGGTCCACCCCAGTTTCCTGAGCTGTGGTGTGGTCTGATTTGCCATTAATTTCCTTCCCTTGCCGCTTGATTGAGCGTAGCTGAACGCTCTGTAGTGCAAACGGGGTAATCAGGGGCTTAGCGGTCTTTGTGGGGCTGCTGGAAATAGCTGGTTTGGGAGCATCCTTCACTGCCTTCACAAGAGATAGGGAGGGGGAAGGTGGAGAAAAAGTAGGTAGTGGAGGAGGTGGAGGGGGTCCGCAGGAGGGCATAGGAGGAGGAGGTGGGGGGGGACTGAAGCTTCCATTGAAGGACAAACTCGGGTGAATTAGTGTTTCAGGGGATGGGGGAGGAGGGAATTCTGGGGAGGTGGAGCAAGCTGGATGTGGGGTCACAGAAATTCCCTGTGGAGTGGTTGGCAAGGGGGGAGCTGGTGGAGGAGTGGTGGAACATGCACTTGAACTTGGCGGGAGAGGGGCTGGGAAAGGTGGAGGTGGGCTGAGAGGGGTGTTGGGAGCTGAAGAGGAGAGAGGGAGCGGTGGAGGTGGTGCTGGAGGACCCCAGCTCTTCAGCGAGTCTGAGGTGTTGGATGAGAGGGAGGTAGAAGAGGAGGACATGGACACAGAGGAGAGCAGTGAGGATTTCCTCTCAGGCACTTTGGGTTTGGGTCGGCTGGAGGGGGACATGGACCTGATGAATGACGGCACCGGGGTTCCAGCCGTGGGTGTGTTGGACTGGCTGGAGTATCCGCTGGATGGGGAGGTCAGTCTGTGCACCCTGTCCGGAGAGGAAGTCGACGTTTTGGGCTTCACTGCTACCCCTCCCTCCTGCCCTGGAGCTCCTGGCGCCTGGCTGTTTCTGTGAATCTCACCTCCGTTTTGTAGTTCGCCCATGTGAGTGCCAGCTGTCATGGTATCTGTGGCTGGAGGGGTCTGTGCCCTCTGGTCTCCATGGTTACGAGGGTAGTCCATGTAGTAACCCCAGGAATCGGCGTAGTCGGAACGTAAGCTGCTGGTGTCACTGTGAGCAGGCGTCACGTGGCATAGTGAGTACACGTTAGACACACCTCCGCAGTTTGCATTAGCTACAAGTGATGCTGCAGAGCTTCCTGCGCTGACGCTGCTCTGACTGCGTGGCCGTATCACCCAGGGGTCATCGTAGTCACTGCTGGGACTGTGAGAGGGTGAAGATGGTGAAGCGCCCTTTCCTTTCCCTCCCCTGAGCCCCATCTGTAGGCTCTGCTGCAAACTGGCAATTAGAGTCTCATTAAGCATGGCGCTATTTGCTTCGTTAGCACCACTTATGGCACTAACGCCTCCAAGGGGCTTTTTCGCACCAGGCTTGCGTCTCAGAGAGTCTGTGCGGGCTGGGGGCAAGGGCGGCTTCTTGGCCTTGCGAAGGGAGATGCTGCGGGACAGAGAGCGATCACTGTACAAGCTTCCAGAGTCCTCCTGATTGGCCATCTCACGGCACTCGTACATGCTGTGTCTGGTGGCCCGGCCAGCTGCTGCGCCATGCCCACTGCCATGGCTGCGAGAGCGAAGGCCAGAGTCCATGTGCATAGAAGTGAAGTATCCATCGTTGTCCTGGGAATAGAGAGAGCTGGAATCAGTAGTGGTCCTGGAGGAGTGTTCCAGGCTGTTGTACAGCTGGTTGATGGGGGTGGAGCAGCTGGAGGTGAGAGTGCGGTGAGGGACCACCACGTTTTCTGGTGTGTCGTATATCCACTGCTCCTCCGGCAGACAGGATGGAGGCGTGGGAGCCAAGGTGCTATGGCTGTGTATGCTGCTGTCTGAGTGTCCTGACTCGCTAGCGGGTGCAGCAACAACTGGACAACCACCCTGTGGTGCATGAGTGGGGGTGGACGTGGCCAGTGCTGGACAGGTGGAGCTGTGGGTGAAAGCTGTCGGACTTGAGGTCAGAGGGTCAGTGTTAGAGAGGGAAGCCAGACTGAGCGGTCGGTTTGTGGAATAAACTGAGGCTGGGGAGTGGGGGAGTAGACCAGAGGTGTTGAGCGTGATGACCTCAGTGGAGCTTGACAGGGTGGCATTGGGGATAACTGAGGTGGAATAGGCGGCATGTGGGGAAACCACACACGCCGGACCCCCACCCCACTCACTGGACTGTGTCCGCCTCACTTCCTGAGACTTGGGCCTTGGTAGAGTTCCTGTCCTTGGGGCGTTTCTCATGTGCACCACTGTATCATCAACCTGAAGCTTTCCAATCTGCCTCTGAGGTGTTTGCTCCTCTGACTTGATGGGGGTGCTGCTGTAGATGGGATCAGCACTGAGGGACACCCTGGCGCCCGGTCTTGGCAGACTGTGGAAACGGGAAAGGTCTCCGTTAAACTGATGTGGCAGCATCAACATCCCGGAGCTGTCACTGCTGGAGATGGATATACTTCCTGTCGAGGAGGAAGTTGAAATTCCGGCCATCTGAGCAGCAATTCCCTGTCCTCTCTGAGCCCGAATTCTTCTCATGGACGGGGGTACGATCTTGATTTCTTCTGTTTGGCAGCTTGAGTCTCTGGTGACTGAGCGTGAGAGCGTTGAGTTGACGCTCCGAACTCGGCCCAAAGTGGAGTACTGTCCCGGGATGAACATGGAATGTGGCCGGAGCTCTCCACCACGTCCTTTTGCTGCTGTCAACGAAAAGATAGAATATAAGATAAATGTGTGATTGATCAAAATATCTCCTGTTTTCTGTTCTTGCTCCTCTACCCTTCTCTTTTCCTCTCTAACCTATTTAGCCACAATGCCTTCTACTCTCTGACCTGACTGTTGGATAAACTGGTCGCAGAGAGGCTAATTAATTTGATTTGCTGCAACCCTGTCTTGCGTGTTAATAACTTCTGGTCTTCTTCATTAAGGAGAAAAGGATATGAGGGGAGACAGATAGAAGAGAAAGACTCCCTGCCACCCTTCTCCTGCTATTCTTGCTGTGGCTCAGTCCAATAGAAAAATGTGTCTCCTGGGGTCCAGGACAGGCATCTGGTTAAGTATGAGGCAGTCAATAAACAACATACACATACATGGACACAGAACTACACACATACACACACACACACACACA